TGGGAATCTTACAGGATTCTGGGAAGAGTTGCAGTTGGACCTCACAGACATTGAACGCAAACTGGGAACCGGAGTGATCCAGTGCAGCAGTAGGAAACGGGCTCATTGTCCCCTGGACAGCAGGGCTTCATTGACCCCCATCTTTGTTACAGTGATTCATTCTACTCTTTCTCTGCTTCGACTGCTCTTTCGTTACCAATTACTTCACCCACTACTTTATATATCTCTCCTCTGCCTAATGCGTTGCGTTTACTCCTACCTTGCGCCTCTTGGGGCTTCTCAGGGATTCTTTCTGCTGCCTTGATTTTTAGCTTCTGCTCTCACCATGGGGTCAACTTTCCCTTTCCATTTCCAGTTCAAATTCTTGAAGGAGAATGGGTGTAGGTAGTCACCACCGTCCCTGTTTGGGTAGAGTGTTCACATCAGGTCCCCTTTTTACTGCCTTCGGTTTATATGGTTCTAGGAACGGGGTTGTATGGCCCAGATCATGGCTTAGGCTGCTGCTACAGCTGGGGACACTGGCTGGAGTGGCTCTTCTAGAGTGGGAGTCTGGCACAGGAAAACAGAACGACCTCTTAGGTACATTGGTTTTTGATTTTTTTTAAAAAAATGTATTTTAACGCACCATTAAAGTAACATATTTTTAAAATGTTTTTTCAAGGCAAAATTCTCCTCACTCTTTCATTTAAAATAGTCATGTTACATAGAAATAAAGAGTAGATTGGTGGTTGCCAAAGACTGGAGTTTGGGGGAAATGAGGAGACGTTTAAAGGGTACAAACTTCCAGTTACAAGATAAATACTCTCTGGGGATGTAATGTACAGCATGGTGCCTAGGGTTAACCATACTGTATTGTATACATGAAAGTTGCTAAGAGAGTAGATCTTAGATGTTCTCACTGCACACAAAAAAAGAAAAAGAAAGAAAGAAAAGGTAACTATGTGAGGTGATGGATGTGTTAGCTAACCTTATGGTGGTAATCATTTCATAATGTATATGTGTATCAAATGATCACATTGTACACCTTAAGCTTTCACAATGTTATATGTCAATTATATCTCAATAAAGCTGGAAAAAAACAACTTGCTGTTGCCTAGGTACTTTCTGGCTGACTTTAATGGAAATATATTTCAGCTGAATTTTTCTTAAAGTTCCTGAAATTTAATATTATAGGGGAAATGTTCATGCTTTATAAAGTTCAACCAGCATTTTAATAAACCTAGTTGCAAAAATGTAAATGCATTTTAATAGTTAATGTAGAATTGTGCCTACGGATATTAGAGACTAGCAAAGATGGGTAGGGAAAGTCTGGAATATGCTGACTTTAATAAAGTAGGCTAAAAGCATTTCCCTTTTAAAATAGTGTTTCCAGGCATTTTCCTGGTGCTTTGCTGCTAAAATATTAATAGTTACATGGAATGGTTAACTGCAGGCTGTAATTGTTGAAAGTTATCTTTATATGCACAAATTGTGATGAAAAGGAGAGTGGATTACAAACATAAACTTGTGTTTGGGTTTTACTCTGACTTAGAGGAAAGACAACATAACATGCCTTCTATATCATCTTACCACTGCAAAACGGGAAGTGAAGTCAGGCAGTAAACTGCTTCCTGTCTTCTTGCAGAAAGGAAGCAGATATGTAAATATACATGGGCAGCCTTCAGTCTCTCTCCACTCAATCCATCCGATGCACGGTCCTGATTTGGCGTTAGTTAAATGCTATGATGTCATTCCCATGTTTTCAATACTGGGTGTATGTCAGAATCACTTGGGAAGATTTTAAATTAAACCCTACACCCAGGACATACCTCCCCTCCGCCCCCCCCCCAATTTTCTGATTTATTTGGTGTGGGTGTGGTTTGGGCATTTATATTTTTGAAAGGCATCCTAAGTAATTCTAAGGATCAGACAGGAAGCCACTAGGCAAAAGGACGGAATCTGAACATTTGAGTTGGCATTCAAGATGCTTTGTTATCTATCCCCAACCTAGCTTGTCAGGCTCTGGCTAGCCCAAAAGGCCTCCCATGCCCTCTTCACATTGCTTGTGCTTTTCCTCTTCTGTTCCTTCTCCAGGCATTCCAAGAGGATCTTCCTCACACACACTTTTTCTGATTCAAATTCCTGCCCATTTTTCAAGACCCAGATCAGTTTTACCTCCTTTGTGAAGCCTTCCCTGACTGTCCTTGACGAGAGGGCTTGCTTGCTCCCTCTACAGACCTCACAAAGCAGATATTGCCTAGAAAATCACCTGAACAATGAATCAGTCATATACTGCTTTGTGTCATCTCTCCTACTGTTGTCTTAAATGATTCATCTTTGCTTAACTTTTCATCTGTTTGTTATCCAGCTGCGTACACTGTAAGCTTCTGGCATTCCTTTGTGTCCTTGACAAGCTGAGTGCCTTGCACAGTGCAGGAAGTCACTAAATATCTGCCCCTCCTTTCCATCCCTACTTCCACAGGTGTGGTTCAGGCCTTTAGCTCTCCTGGAGTCTTGCCCTGGTCCTAATGGGCCTTCCTGACACTGCTCTCTGGCTCTTTAAATCAGGCCATCACCTGATGGCTCACATGGCCAATGGCCAGTACAACTGATTGTGTGTGTGTATTTCTCTGTTGACTCTTGCGCTCTCCCTGTATTATGATCTTGCTAGCTCTTTGGCTTTCTTTCCCTTTTGGCCTCTTACTCTCCTGCTCCCCTCTTTGCTAGGAGAGTTACCAGCAGAATTCAATTTCTCTGGTTTTGACTGCTTGTGTTCTTGATGATGTCAGCGTATATAACATACTCTCTAGATCTTTCTGTCCCTATTCCTTTGGGTAAACACTTCCCCTGGCCAGGCTCTGGCCCAGCTGACCTAAATTATCCTGACAATCCTCCACCATTATCCTGGTCTGATCTGTCAAGATTCCACTCAAAGAGAATAGATACTCTTTCATTGTCTTTAGGATTCTCACCCTTTAAAAGAAACCTGATTATGCTGTCCACGTGATTTAAAGCTTCTGTTGGTTCCTTGTTGCCTGCAGAATAAAGTCTAAACCTGAGCTGTCCAATATGGGAGTTATTAAAATTGAAATAAAAATTGAGTTCCTCATCTATGACATATTTCAAATGCTCATTAGTCATGTGGCTATCACATTGGACAATACAAATATAGAACATATCCATCTTTGTAGAAAGCTCTGTGGGACAGTGCTCATCTAAATATCTTAGTGTAACTCATGAGGCCTTTTACAATCTCAATCTTTTGCTCTAGCCTAATTTTTGGCTGCTACTCACCTTTCAGCCTTACCCACTTTTTCTTATTTTTTTTTCTTTTAAAGATTTTTATTGGGGAATTGGGGGATGGGAACAATGCTGGGGAATTGGGGGAAGGGGAACAGGCAAGTTGCTGTTCTTTTTGTTCTTCAGTCTAGTTGTGGAGGACGTTGCTTCACTGGCCCAAGTTGGCACCATCATTGCACTCTTCCCGGGCGAGGCAGAGCAGTCACCGGCTTCTGGATGGCCGCTCACAGCAGCTGCTGGCCACTCACGCTGGCTGCTGGCTACACACGGTAGCTCATGACAACCCACTGCAGCAGGGGCTGCAGCCTATGCTGTCGCCAGCGACTCACAGCAGCCCAGCTCCAGGTTGAGCTGTTGTTCAGTATCTTAGCTGTAGAGGGCAGTGTCACTGGCCCTCATATGTGGGCTCCGAACCGGGGCCCTCTGGCGTCCCAAGCCCACTCTTAACCAACGTGCCACTCGGCGGGCCCCAGCCTTACCCACTTTGTCAATGGTCCCCTTTCACTCAGTGCCCTTTCACAACTTCATGCCTTTGAACATGCAGTTACCTCTTCCTAAAACGGCCTTTGACTTTCTTCTCTGGCAAACTCCTACCTGCCTTTTAGGATCCAATTCAAACATCACGTTCCTTGTGAAGTTCCCTGACTCTCTTAAGCACAATAATTTCTTCCTCTGTGTTCCCTTTGCTCTTTGAACCTAGCTTTCTTTCCCTTATCATTCCATTTTGTCATTTGCTTATAAATCAGGCTATGCTCTTGGAACAGGGATCCTGTGTAATTATTCTATAGATCTGCCCTAATGATTACATGGAATTGTTTGCTTGAGGCCCTTTTAATATCAAGCAATATATTTTCTTATTTATGTGCTTGGCATGTTTGAAAAAATGACTTGTTGCTTTAGAAGTCTTTTCCCTTTCTAGTATAAACCTAGAATGACTTCCTGTCTTCCAGGTTGAAGGTTCATTTTTCTTTTAATTCTGATTAGACTTGAGAGAAATGTGGTAGGAAGAGTCGATGAGGTAAAAAACAGGACTATATGTGGGAGCTGGTTCAGGTTCCAGTTGTTACACAAAATATACTTGATACATATTTGGGAGAAGAGCAGGAAGGGAAGATAGAGTAAAAAAAAAAACAAACAAACAGCCCATGGAAAGAAAATTGGGAATTATGTTTGACTTTTCCCAGGCTAAGGAATATAATGATATAATAAAGTGGGGTGACTTTTTATTACCATTTTGCAAAAACGTACATTTTTTTTTCCTCCTGGAATTTGATAAGATTTTGATAAATTCTTATGTTTCCAATTACTGGGAAGTAAATCCTCCTGACCAAGAAATTAAAATATGTTAGTTTCCCTTCTGTGATTACAGTTAATGTCCCTTCGACAGGCTTATTTTCTTCTGAGTGGGCTGTAAATCCTAAGGGCTCAGAATCAAAGAGACTTTTGTACATCACTATTACCTAGCCGTTGCCGTATATCTTAGTCAATCATCTCCTCTAGGGCACTCCGACCACTCCCATTGCCCAGGCCACGCCCAACTAGAATTACCCTCCCTCCCACTTTACGGATCCGCCCCAAGTTTAGCAGAGGAAGGTTCTCATTGGTGGAGAAGTTGTTCTGGTCCCGCCCCGGAGAACGGCGATAGGCCGAGCTGGCGTGGGGCGGTGGTGGTTGGCTGCCTGGGGACGGGTCCCTCGTAGTGTCTGTCAGAGTGGCTGGCGGCAGTGGCGGCTCTCAGAGCTGGGTTGTCAGTCAGTGAGTGGAGGGGGAAGATGGCCCGCCCGGACCCGCTTTGCTAGGAAGAAGGGGGGCAGGTGGTGCTGCTACTCAAGAGAAGGCAGAGCAGCCGCCGTCGCTGTCGCCGCGGGCCAGACAAGTCGAGATTCTGGAGCTGGAGCTCCGGGAGCCGCTGCGGTGAGTCCGGCCGAGCGACCCACGGCGGGCCGGCGACCGATAACTTTTTTGTCAGGGAGGATCCGGGGCGAGGCGGCAGCTGGGAGGGGACCGGGACTTGGTCCCGCGAGCGGCGGCTTCGTTAAGGTAACGGCTCGCGCGAGGCGTAGCGGGTGGGCGCGAGC